CGTTGCTACAACTTTAAAAGCACCACTACTATGACGTGGGAAAATACCCGAACAAAGCTGAATGCCATACATGTAAGTACCCGCGAAAACTTATATATATATATATATAAACATTATGAGAATTATCTTTTTTATGTATCACAAAGTTAAAGCCTTTTGCATCATAACTCATGGTAATGAATATGCATATCAGCTTCTCTATATTTTGATTAATACAGTTGTGTTCATAAGTTTACATAGCCTGGCAGAATTTATGATTTCTTGGCCATTTTCCCGAGAATATGAATGATAACACAAAAACTTTTCTTTCACTCATGGTTAATGGTTGGCTGAAGCCATTTATTATCAGTCAACTGTGTTTACTCTTTTTAAATCATAATGACAACAGAAAATATCCAAATGACCCTGATCAAAAGTTTAGATACCCTGGTGATTTTGGCCTGATAACTTGCACACAGGTTGGCACAAAGGGGTTTGAATGGCTATTAAAGGTAACCATCCTCACCTGTGATCTGTTTGCTTGTAATTAGTGTGTGTGTATAAAAGGTCAATGAGTTCCTGGACTCCTGACAGACCTATGCATCTTTCATCCAGTGTAGCACTGACATTTCTGGCTTCTGAGTCATGGGGAAAGCAAAAGAATTGTCAAAGGACCTGCGGGAAAAGATAGTTGAACTGTATAAAACAGGAAAGGGATATAAAAAGATATCCAAGGAATTGAGAATGCCAATCAGCAGTGTTCAAAAACTAATCAAGAAGTGGAAAATGAGGGGTTCTGTTGAAACCAAACCACGGTCAGGTAGACCAACTAAAATTTCAGCCACAACTGCCAGGAAATTTTTTAGGTATGCAAAGAAAAACCCACAAATAACTTCAGGTGAAATATGTGGTGTAGCTGTTTCAAGATGCACAATAAGGAGGCACTGGAAGAAAGGTGGGCTGCATGGTCAAGTCTCCAGAAAAAAGCCATAACTACACAAATGCCACAAAGTATCCCCCTTACATTACGCAAAACAGCACAGAGACGAGCCTCAAACCTTTTGGCACAAAGTCATTTGGAGCAATGAGACCAAAATTGAGCTTTTTGGCCATAACCATAAACGCTACATTTGGAGAGGAGTCAACAAGGCCTATGATGAAAAGTACACCATTCCTACTGTGAAACATGGAGGTAGATCGCTGATGTTTTGGGGATGTGTGTGCTACAAAGGCACAGGAAATTTCGTCAGAATTGATGGCAAGGTGAATGCAGTATGTTATCAAAAGATACTGGAGGAAAATTTGCATTCATCAGCCCGGAAGCTGCGCATGACGCATACTTGGACATTCTAACATGACAATGATCTTAAACACAAGGCCAAGTCGACCTGTCATTGGCTACAGCAGAATAAAGTGAAGGTTCTGGAGTGGCCATCTCAGTCTCCTGACCTCAATATAATTGAGCCACTCTGGGGAGATCTCAAACATGCAGTTCATGCAAGACAGCCCAATAATTTATAGGAACTGGAGGCTTTTTGCCAGGAAGAATGGGCAGCTTTACCATCTGAGAAGATAAAGAGCCTCATCCACACATACCACAAAAGACTTCAAGCTGTCATTGACGTTAAAAGGGGCAATATACCGTATTAAGAACTGGGGTATGTAAACTTTTGATCAGGGTCATTTGGATAGTTTCTGTTGTCATAACAATTTAAAAAAAGTAAACAACAGTTGATTGATAATAAATGGCTTCAGCCAACTATTAACCATGAGTGAAAGAAAAGTTTTTGTGTTATCATTCATATTCTCTGAAAAATGGCCAAAAAATCATAAATTCTGCCAGGGTATGTAAACTTACAAGCACAATTGTACATACTGTATTCACACATAGGAGATTTCTTCACAAGTGGTGGTCTTTTCATATGTTCACTCAAAGAAAGGCAGTCCAGTAATAATAACTGCTGACCAAAATAACATTTATTTCTTCAGCTACTTTTAACTAGCCAGTTGGAAAGTAGATAGTGTGGTGATGATGGTGATAATCATAATTTATATCAGAATGACAAAAGACTATTGAACAGGGTGGATTGGCAGGAAACATTGAAGAAAAGTTCTAGGTTACTCAGTGCAAAGCAACTAGAATTAAATAGTGAATTAGTTTTATTCTAATCTTGCTATCATTTCTACCAACCTGTGTAAATGACAACCACGTTGGATTTTGTTAATTAAAAAAAACCTCTAGAATGTAGATTTTCACATCTGTCAGTTGTTTATTGATATATTGATGTCAGGATTCCATCAATTGCTCCAATTGATTTATGAACAGTACCATAAAATAATGCAAGTACTATCTCACTACTATATCAATTCTATGTCAAACTATATCAATTCTATGTTGAAATGGCCTCTTTTGGTGCAGATATATCAATCTCAATCTAATTTTAAATCTGGATCAAGACTTGTTTTCCAGAATAGAAGTTACAGGAGAATAATTCTGATCTGGTCAGGAGAAGTAGGAGATTGTGAATTCAAAATAATGCTCTCAGAGAGGTTGGTGTATGGGTTAAATGTGGGTGAAATGATGTTCACTGCTCTGAAATCCAACCATTTAAAGTTACGATGGTGCTGAAAAAGTAACTTCACCAATAGTTCTTGCACTTTAAACCATTGCAATTTCCCCATAGTTAAATGATAACAATTCGGGCACTTCTCAACTGATGGACTTGTAGGACTGTTGTTGTGTCCCACAATCATGTGTCATTTGCATGTATCATAGTCAGCTTCCAACAAGCAAAGTCAACAGGGAAGCCAGCAGTAAAATTTCAAGTCACTATGACATGATACCTCATTTTATAACCATGAACAATTCTTTAACAGTTACACAGAATTGAGGGCATAAGTCTGCTGTGGACATTTGATATCTCCTTTAACAAGTGCATTACTTAACATCAGAATTGCCAGTCCCAATTGTGGTCTGGTACAAGGAATATTCGTACATAATGAAATATTATAAAATAATGAATAGTGATCCTCACTAATAGTGTTTGGAAGGAAAATAGGGCACTATGTTCAGACAAGCATTAGTGGTTAAAAAAAACAAAAAGCAATTCCTGTTCTACATGTTCAAAAGCTTCTCCATCCAGAGAGTAGCAGACAAAAGCTCTAGTTTTTATCTTGTTTCTTAGGCATGTATTGGCAGAATGTGGCTTTAGAGACAAACTCACATATTATTCTTTTTAATTTCCCATTATAGATGAGCACATTTCCTTCCAGATAATTGAGTTTGCTGTTTAATTTAGGGCTAGCTTAAACCTCACTGGTGAAAGCATTATATTTGCTCCCATCTCTGTTTGAGTCAGGGTTAACAGCCTGTTATATGAAAACATAACTATTACCAGGGAAGACTGAAAATATATATTAAAAAATTCAGAACTAGAATTCTATTGTGTTTAGAGCTCCAAAAGCATAGAGTTAGAACAAATGGATTGAAACTGTGTTACTTTGTGCTGGATTTGAACAGGTTCATTGCCAAAAGAGGAAGACATTTTTCCAGCAGTGTCTTGTCCATTAGCGTGTTTGTAAGTTGAGACAGTGAAGAATTACATTTTGAGTGAATCCTTACCAATACAAGAAGCCAAAGACCCAGGAAAAAGAAAAAAAAGTTGTTTTTGTTTTTAAAAAGGAAACAAATGAATACATAAATAAAAGTGATGGCATTGTCACTTTGACTGAACCTTCCAGTGCTAAGAAGTTAGGAAAGATTAACAGAGGGTTTGCTGGTTACTTTTAAGCTTGCTTCTCAAAAGCAAGAAGTGTTTTAAGAAGGTATGTGATGAATCCCTGATTTAGTTTAGCAGAAGTGGAGCACAGTGGCTCATGTGATAAGGATGCCTGGCAGACAATTGGTAGAGTTGTGTTCAAAACCCGGTTGCTGCATTACGGGGTGAGCTCTCATCACTTATTCTAGCTTCTGCTGACTCAGCAGTTTGAAAGCAGGGAACCACGAGTAAATAGATGGGAACCACTTCAGTGCACAGCCTAATGTGGACAAAAAGGAATCCCTAACTGAGCACCCCCTGGGCAACAGTGATGCCACCAGCTAATCTTCTCAACCCAGAAGCACCTCAGTGTTACCAATATGAATGTAATAGTAGCTTAGCAGAACAAAATTTGTTCCTTGGGAGATACTTATCCTAGGTTATCTTGTATTTCTAACAGGATAGCTACAATTTCATAGTTTGTAGTTTGGGTTAACTTCTCCAGTTACTATTGGTACTGAAAGCTGGTTGATGATTTTTTTCCCAGTCTTCTCTGTGTCTTGTTGCAATTGCAATCAAGGTATGTTGGAAATGGCAGTAGAAATTTCTATCAAGATCTAGGAAATCCAGAACAAAATATAATTGATGGTTCTTAATTTCTTAATGACATAAATTTGTGTTACCACCATAACTTTAATATCTTTATCGCTGAACATCTTACAAACAAAATAATGTGTAGTAAAGCAAGCAGCAAATGGTGCAAAGTAATTTGATTTTTCTGTTGAGTAGCCTATATTTTTATAGTAAGCCATGTATGGTTTTGCAATGAATATTTTATTTTAGGAGAAGTGCTCTAGTGCCAACTCTACACTAATTTAAATTGTGACCCTATCCCAAACTTAATTTCAGTAAAAAGGAGGAAAATAATTCAATTTGTATGAAAATCATTAGTTTTTTTAAATGAATTTAACACACGAGTGATTTTAACAATACATATCTTGACTTGATAATAGAAATATTTTATGACAATAAAGTTTAAGCAACATAACTCAGTACTAATGTATCTTTTCTTACAGATGTTCGTAGAAGAACAATCTATGAATATCACAAAGTAGAGCTTCAGATGTCAAAGGTCACCAATCTGTCAGCTGTTGAGATGATTCCTCTGCCCAGTAAGCTATATTTAATAAGCAGATAAAATACTATATTTTAAAGGTGTGGTTAAGACATGCCACTTTTCTTTTATAATATTTTTTATGCATAAAAAAGAAGATATTTTTGCATTGTTGGCTAATAGTGTAAAATTACTTATACAACCCTATTGAAATTTAAGCCAGCACAATAATATAGTGGTAGATATAATGTGCTAATGTCACTTTCATATTTCCACTTTGACTTGGTAAATCCCATATTTTTCACAAAATGTCAGTATTATTTGGGTTCTAATATTTGTGTATCTACATTATTGTTGTAATGTACATCTATTTCTTATCTAGTCATTTCTCAGCCATTTGTTTTTTTCTTCCATGTGTGTGTTTGTGTGTATAATCATAAGGTTGCTTGCAAATTCAATAGATTCACACTTTTTGATAAAGTACAGTCTTCTAAAATATTATTGTTGACTAAGCCACATTAGAATGATTTGAACATCATATCAATCCATGAATGATATACCACTATGAATAGGTTCAGAAAATATGCTAAGTGAAATATAAACATAAGGCATGGTATGTGAACCCAATTATAGTTTAATATTTGAAATAAAAGCATATATGCTGATTTTTGTTTGTATACCATCTTTCTGTGATGTGGCACTCTCAAGAAACATTACCTGTGCTGTCTACAGGAATATGAGCATTAATTTCTGCTACTTTTTAAAAATACACCAGATTGGAGGCAGCCGTAATATACCTTCTCTAAGGATCTTACTTTGCCTGGTCTTGCTTGGAGGTGCTTGTTATGAACTAATAAAAACTATTTAATAAAACTTGTCAACCTCATGATAAGCAGGCTTGTAATCCTGCACCTTTGATTGGCCCATGGATAGCGAACAGGGATTGGTCCTTACGGAGCAGCCTGATTGGCTATTAGTTGAACATCTCCCATTGGGCAAAAGTTAAGCATTTGGACATAATTCATTGGTTAACGGGTCAGCAGCCAGCTCTATAAAAGAGCTGCTGCTGCCCAGGGTTCGCTCGCTCTGTTCCTAATCCTTAATAAAGAGTTGAAGTTCACTAGTTCTCTGACTCGTCTCCGTTCCTTGCACCCATGCCCAGAATATAACAGTGCTGGTCTTAAATTAGATGTGCAAAAGTTCATAATACAAACATTATGATAGACCTCACTGTTTAATCTTGGATGAACTTTGCTTGTCTCACAGAATAAGCTACATTTACATCATTGGGCCTCCTCTATTATGGTGATAGCAACTGAAGCTTCTTAAATACTTGGTCCACTAACTTTCCTGGATATTTGTATTCATTTGGTTCCTTTCAGTAGCTATGTTCACAGGAGTGGGAAGGAGGCAATCAGTGATAAAATCAATGTCACAATGCAAGACTTGCCTCTTTTGTACATGTGTTGTGACAGTATATACACATTCAAAAGGGTTATTGCTAACAGTATGATATTGTTTTCATCATTTTGACAAAAGCAGCAGGAGCTTGCAGATACCCATGTGTCTTAGATGAGAAATAGCCATGGAATTACAGAATAACACTATTCGCTTTGAGAAAAACTGAGGGGCTTTGAAAGAATTATATCCATAAAAGAGAGGCAAACTTGGTTCAGATGTCAGTGCCTTCAGCATTATATTAGATCGCTGGTCCTCACAATTGTTAAAGTGTAATTTGTAATATAGAACTGTGGATACCATCTGGCTGATCCCTTCTTCCATCTATTTTCTTGATATTTCTATTGTCTGATTGCTTTTTTATAGCTTTATTATAGGTTTATTTACTTGATTGATTGCCATAAATTCTAAATTTGTTACTTGTGCCTTAAGATACTGATAGCCATATGCTTGCCCTGCTCATTGATATATATCTATATATGACACTTTGCTGTCTCGAATTTCTTACATTGATCAAAACTGAGTTGTATCAAAGAACTCTGTGGAATTTGTTTGTTTATTTATTCACTTAAAACAGTGAAAAGGAATAGATGCACCTAGCAGAACAAGTGATCTCTGTTAGAGGTTGGCCATCCATTATGGATATTGATGTTAGAAAATGTAAACAACAAAAGAAGTAGACAAGCTTGGAATGGAAATTGCCCGTACCTAATCTGAAGAAACCAGACTCAGCAGCTGAACTATTTTTAATCCAGTTATACTACTGTACTACCACAGCTTTCAAATTCTTGTATAACATTGTTAGTAATTGTTAGTAATCAGCAGAATAAGTATCCTGATGCTGTGCATATTATAGCGGGGGATTTTAATCAGGCTGATTTAAATTCTATCAGCATGTTAAGTGTGCTACTAGAGGAGCAAACATATTGGACAAAGTATAACCAACGTTAAACATGGCTATCAGGTTATACAATTACCAATTACATTTGGGACAATCAAATCATATGTCACTGGTTTTAGCACCAGCATACATCCCTCTTAGGAGGCAGGCTTTGCCTGTAATAAAGACAGTGAAATCTTGGCCAGAAGATGCTTCCCAACAACTTCAGGATTGTTTTGAGAACACAAATTGGGACATTTTTTACCACCCTGATCTAGAGGAGCACACTACAGCTGTTCTGTGCTATATCAAACACTGCACACATACTGTCACTGTGGATAAACGTATTAGGATCTATCCCAATCAGAAGCCCTGGATGACCAAGGAAGTCCAGTGCCTCTTTTGTGACAGGACCAAGGCCTTTAGGTCCAGTGATGGGGCAAGATAAATGTTGCCAGAGCTAGTCTGAGGAAAAGAACAAGACTGATTATAAGAGGAAGATTGAGGATATTTTTTATAATAATAACATGACACAGATGTGGTGAGGGATTCAACAAATTACCAACCAGCAATGACCAATGTCATCCCTACTGAGGGGATGCTTCATTGGCAGAGGAGCTGAATCATTTCTTTGTTTGCTTTGAAGTGGAGACATCAGAGACAGCTAAAATACAGCCACCAGCCCATTCTAACTCCCACCTCATTGTGGCGGAACAGGAGGTGAGGAGCATTCTGAGAGCTGTTGGCCCTAGAAAGGCTGCCAGTCCTGATGGTATCTCTGACTGAGTGCTTAAAGACTGTGCTGATCAGTTGGCTGGAGTCTTTACTAGGATCTTCAATTTGGTCTTTATCCCAGTCCACTATTCCATCTTGTTTGAAGGATTCCGCCATTGTTCCACTGCCAAAGAAGTTTCTTATCAATAACGTCAATAATTACAGACCAGTAGCACTCACTCCTATCATCATGAAGTGCTTTGAGAAATTGGTCTGCCAGCACATCATTTCTGGTCTTCCACATACATTTGATAAACACCCATTTGCATACAGAAGAAATAGATCTACAGAAGATGCTATAACCATCACTCTTCACACTGCTCTGACTCATTTGAAACAGCAGGGAGGCGGCTATGTGAGAATGCTTTTTGTAAATTTTAGCTCTCATTTAACGCAATATTTCCACATAGACTAGTGTATAAATTTACGGATCTTGGACTTTCTTATTCAGTCTGCCTTTGAATTATGGATTTCCTGTCTGGCTGCTCTCAGATGGTCAGATTAGGTAATCATATCTCTTCAGCCCTTATTCTTAACACCGGTACACTACAGGGTTGCATCCCTTGTTGGGTCCCTTATTCTATACTCTTTATGTGCATGACTGCATTCCCACTCATGCTGGTAATACTATTACTAAATTTGCAGATGATACACCAGTGGTAGGACTCATCTCCCAGGGGGATGAGTCTGCCTATCGAGATGAGGTGAACCAGTTGCTTTCATGGTTGGAGACAATAACTTAGTTCTTCACACCATTAAGACTGATGAGATTATAGAAGGAATAGATCAGACATCCAGCCCATGCTTATCAATGGAGACCGAATGGAGCAAGTGACCAGTTTTAAGTTTCTGGGTGTTATCATAAAAGAGGATCTGATCTGGGGCACTCACATTGCAGCACTAGTCAAAAGGGCCCAGCAGAGATTATACTATCTGAGACTTCTCGGGAAACAATAACAATGAAAAAATGCTGGTGGCCTATCGTTACACCATAGAGAGTATTTAACTTACTGCACCTGTATATGCCAGTTGCACAGTGGCAGATAGGACAACACTACAGAGGGTTAATGTCATTGCCCTTTTTGGAAGAGCTTTATAGCTCCCGCTGCCTTAAGAAAGTTCAAAACATCCTCAAAGATCCATCTCATCCTGGGTACCTTTTTTTAAATTATTACCATTTGGCAAATGGTACAGGATAATAAAATCTGATAAACAGCTTCTATCCCAGAACAGTAACTATATTGAATTCTACTGTATAGTGCAATATTAATGCACTCTGAATTTTCAATTCAAATGTATAGAATGTGAAGAATGTGCGTTTGTGTTTTATTTTTATAGTTATAATATACACTGAAGATGGCATTTAAATTTGTTTTATGAGGTTCAATGACAATAAAGTAAACTAAACTAAACTATGGCACTTTAACAGTTTCCTAACCTTTTTGTTATGTTCATCTGTCAAAAACATTATGCTATTAAAGGTAAACAGACATAAAGGAATAAATAAGAAAACTTTACAGCAGAAAGGCAGATTTAGGAGATATACAAGTTGTATATTAATGTGTAAAAGCAAAAAATTGAGGTTGCAGTATGTTTATCTTGTACTGTGCTAAGAAGTTGGAAGTCAGTGCCCTCTTTTCTTCCTTTTTCTCTTTCCCCTTGTATCTCACACCCCTTTTTCCTTGCTCCCTTTCCCTCCCTTAATTTCCTATTTTTTCTTTTCTTCTTTGTATTTTATATAATAAAATAAAAATGATAAATGGAGATATACAAAACACGAAAAGCTGTAGAAAGGCATTACAATTTTGGGATCAAAACTAATTATACAAATTCAATCTGTAATAGATTTACATATCTCCATAGTATTTTCTGGAGGTGCCAAATTATTGTCCCCCGACCAGTTTCATTTATTTTTGAAGAGAATAGATTCCTGAAAAAGTCAATTGTAGGAAATCTTCGTAAGATGAACAGTTTATTTTTATTTGTTTGCCCCTGTCTGCATGTACATTTTATTTTATTTTATTTTATTTTATTTTATTTTATTTTTACAGCTTGTCTTCAGTTTAACAGCTGTGTATCCTGTATCATGTCTCAGATTGGTTTCAACTGCAGCTGGTGTAGTAAACTCCAAAGGTAAGAAAGCTTATTAACTTTGGTACATGGTCTTTGGTACACCATGGCTTTGATAATGAATCAGTTTATCCTTTCGCCCATAGAATAAATGGACTCTTTTAATTAAGCTAATTTATTGCCTCAAATTCTTTTTACCCTTTTCAATTGTGGTAAAGAAAATTAAAAGGTTTCTTTTTCAGATTCCCAAGATATCTTAAATGATAGCCAGACTCTTCCACATAATTAACACTCAGAGAAAAAAGATTCCTTGCCAGGCTTGGTGGGAGTGTCCTAGAATTATGGAGTATTGGCAAGTGGCATGAAATATAATTGAAAGGGCAACAGGCTGTGTATTAAATCAGTAGCCAACAGAGGTTATATGGGTTAATAAATAAGTTTTTATTGTAAAAAATAATGCAAATGTTGTTCATTTAAAAACCAAATATTAAGTTATATATAGATGGATGTAGCTAAAATTAAGGAATGGCTGGAATGAGAGGATTACTGATTGAAAAAAAATTGTGTTCTTTTATTTAAGAACATAAATTATATGTGGTTACAGATTAGGATTTATTAAACAATTATAGCTTCAACCATCCAACAAGAGCATGTTCATTTATTTATGGAGAGGAGCAATTGGGAGAGATCTCATTTTAGTAGAAGATTTCACATTCCACGTACGAATTCGGTTTTTTATTCATTTTATTGTTTAAGTTGAGGTTTTAACTTTGCTAACCAATGTTTTAATCTTTTGATTTTTAATTGTTTTATATCATTATTTATAACATTGCAAATTGTCCAAAGTTGCCTGATAGTGACATTGGAGCATAAAAATTTAATAAATGAATAAATTATTCTGAGTAGTTGGTGAAATACAAGCACTTATTCTTCCCTTTTGATTAAAAAAAAATAAGTGTCAAAAACTAAACCTTTGAAAAAAAAGTTTATTTAAAAAACCATCATGTAAATACATGCAATTGGATCCTAACACTTGAATAATAGTAATATTTGAAGATAGACTGTTATCTATGAAAATCTTCTGGGAATATTTCATTTCTATATTCAATGTGACAGGCCACAAACTGGTAATAAATAAGTGCATTTAGCATAATGAAGCAAATGCTTTAGAATATTTTATAGCACTCTCTCTCTATATATATATATAAATCAAACTTTTCATCATTATGTCATCATCAGTGATATAATACAGAATTCTCTCATCATAATTTGATCTGTCCTTGAATACTTCTCCAACTGCCTTATGGTGTAGTATATTTACATAGTTTATAAAATACTCCATGAAATTCTATAAGACTGAAATATAGGAGAGTCAGATTTAACCATGCACTTACAAAATAAGGCTTTTTGGAATTTCAGAAGATATCCATATAAAAGCTGTATATAGGACTTTTTAAAAAAAATTAATGAACTAATTATCACATGATTGAATGAGAAGTTTGAAAGAAATGCATTTAAATATTGTGAAATATTTGCATTTATATGTCTCATTTCATCAATAATATGTTAAGAATGATTAGAAGGATTAACTCTATACTTTAACTTGCAACAGAAAAGATCAGGAGTGTATTTATCAAATCATAACAAGCTATAATTCTATTAAATATTCATGAAAAATTTGACATCTAATATATTAGTATGGTATTCCTGGAAATTTTGAAAACTATTCCTGAACATTTTAATTTATCTTTGGGGCCTGTTACCACAATTATATTTCCTTGTTTAAAGTTCAACTCTTATGTGATTGTAAAATATTGTTGTATATAATTCTTCAAAAAAATCTTATAATTACAAGTTCCAAACTTTTAATATTTTTCATAATAGTACTTGTATTAATCGAAATCAGAACAGGTTACACCAGTGGATCTATTTTCATATTCCTGTTGCAAGGATCTTGTCAAAGCATGAGCATAAAGAAAATTTATGTTCCTAGTGAGAACCGTAAAACTTTCTAATTCAGTTATTCTCCATATCTCATATAAAGTGGCATCAATTTATCAGTGAACCTGCTATTAGCATGTTAGGAGGTAAAAAAAACCTTCCATTTTTCCAAGAAGGATATGCATGTGTTTTTTGGAAAGCTGTTATTATATTTTTCACTTCCAAAATTCTTAGAGACTTAAATTTTCAGTGTCCACATTGTGTCCATGTTAGACTAGTCTGACTTACTCAGCATTTCCTATTAGTTTGTTTTGCCACAATTTTTATATTTTTGGCATTCAGTATCAGAAGAATAATTTTAGAGTCAGGAATTTAAACTGCACAGTAATAGTTCTGAGCAATATTGACATAATAGTTGAACTTTAAACAAGGAAATATAATTGTGGTAACAGGCCCCAAAGCAAGTTTTTTTTTACTACCAGTTCTGAGGGCGTGGCTTGGTAGGTGTGTCAGGGGAAGAATCTTGTAAAATCTCCATTCAGAGGTGGTATTTGCTGGTTCTCCTAACTATTTAAAATTTCCACTACCAGTTCTCCAGAATACCTGCTGAATACCACTTCTGGTTCTGAGGGTTTAATTTAAAAAAAAATCATCCTTAGCTGCTGACCTTGTTCAGCATGAATGAATTCAATTGCCTCACTGTTATGCAAACTAGACTGTGTTGCTGTTGGTTCTTGTTTTAAATGCTGTTGTACTTATAGCTTTAGAAATTAGAGCTGGAAATTCTACTTGTTAATGATAGGAGGGGGGAGAAGGCTTTACAAAGGTTTTCCAGCAATCTAATGAGGCCCTGAAGGACATATATAATGAAGGACAGAAAGAAGGTTTCTGCCATTCAAAGGTTATGAACACACCTAACATTTTGACTAGACGGTTCTTTTCAATTAGATTTTTCCCCTTCAAAGTTATTTTTATCATTTTTAGCAGAAATAATGGACAAAAATAATATTCATAGAAACTGAAAGAAATTACATTATGAAGAAATAGCAGGCCTGATTTGTGTTTCCTCTTATTCTATGTTGTGAACACAGTTCTGCCACTTCGAAAAAAAATTCTTGGTAGGATTAGGCTATTAGTCAATGTATAAGGTATGCTAATTAAAGTAGTGGTCTGACATCAGGGAGATCAGCATCTGGTTTGTACTTTAGACCAGTGGTGGAATTCAATTTTTTTTTACTACTGGTTGTGTGGGCATGGCTTGGTGGGCATGGTGTAACTAGGTGGGCGTGGCCAGGGAAGGATACTGTAAAATCTTCATTTCCACTCCAGGGGAAGGATTCTGTAAAATCTCCATTCCCTCCGCACATATGAGGAAAGGTTACTGCAAAATCCCATTCCCTCCCCACCCCACTAACCTCCTTTCCAGCTCCGTTCTCCTGTGTAGGGCAACAAAAGACCCAGCCGATCAACTGGGACTCAGGAGGCAGAGAATAGATGGGGGCAGGGTCTGTCAGAGGTGGTATTTGCCGGTTCTCTGAACTACTCAAAATTTCCGCTACCAGTTCTCCAGAACTGGTCAGAACCTGCTGAATACCACCTCTGCTTTAGATATAGAAATTTTGGGCTCTCCTCTCAGCCCAGCCTACTTCAAAGATTGTCACAACCATTCTTACAACTTATAATCAACTTTCAACCATTTATTTAACAATAGTTTAAAATTATAACAGCACTGGAAAAAGTGAATTATGACTCAATCTCAAAGATACAATAGCCAGTCCACCCCCAACATGGTTGCAGTTCAGATGCTTGGAACTGGCTCACATTTACAACAGTTGCAAGTGTCGTGTGGTCACATGATCACAATTTGACATTTCCCAGCCAGTTTCTGACAGGCAAAGTCAATGAGGAAACCTGGATTCACATAACAACCATATGGTTTGCTTTATTAACCCCATGATTCTCTTAATAACTGCATAAAATGGTTGCAAAATTGGATCCAGTTAGAATAAGTGATGATTTGCTTAACAACCACATCACTTAGCAAATAAAATTCCAATCCAATTGTGGTTATAAGTAAAGGACTACTTGTATATTATGCCAGCAGACTTGAAATTCTAGACCTAGAAAACCTTGAATTATGCCATCTTCGGTCTGATCTAAGTATGGTATATAAAATCATACACTGCTCAAAAAAATAAAGGGAACACTTAAACAACACAATGTAACTCCAAGTCAATCACACTTCTGTGAAATCAAACTGTCCACTTAGGTAGCAACACTGACTGACAATCAATTTCACATGCTGTTGTGCAAATGGAATAGACAACAGGTGGAAGGCATAGGCAGTTAGCAAGACATCCCCAATAAAGGAGTGGTTCTGCAGGTGGTGACCACAGACCACTTCTCAGTTCCTATGCTTTCTGGCTGATGGCTTGGTCACTTTTGAATGCTGGCGGTGCTTTCACTCTAGTGGTAGCATGAGACGGAGTCTACAACCCACACAAGTGGCTCAGGTAGTGCAGCTCATCCAGGATGGCACTTCAATGCGAGCTGTGGCAAGAAGGTTTGCTGTGTCTGTCAGCGTACTGTCCAGAGCATGGAGGCGCTACCAGGAGACAGGCCAGTACATCAGGAGACGTGGAGGAGGCCGTAGGAGGGCAACAACCCATCTTCAGGACTGCTACCTCCGCCTTTGTGCAAGGAGGGACAGGAGGAGCACTGCCAGAGCCCTGCAAAATGACCTCCAGCAGGCCACAAATGTGCATGTGGCTGCTCAAACGGTCAGAAACAGACTCCATGAGGGTGGAATGAGGGCCTGATGTCCACAGGTGGGGGTTGTGCTTACAGCCCTGCAGGACATTTGGCATTTGCCAGAGAACACCAAGATTGGCAAATTCGCCACTGGCGCCCTGTGCTCTTCACAGATGAAAGCAGGTTCACACTGAGCACATGTGACAGACGTGACAGGGTCTGGAGACACCGTGGAGAACGTTCTGCTGCCTCCAGCATGACCAGTTTGGCAGTGGGTCAGTAATGGTGTGGGGTGGCATTTCTTTAGGGGACCGCACAGCCCTCCATGTGCTCGCCAGAGGTAGCCTGACTGCCATTAAGTACCGAGATGA